TCTCATAATTTCTTCTGAAGGACAGACATTATCCTTCCATGTGCTACACAGTATGCACCCAGACTCAGAGGAAAATGTAGAATGAAAAATACTTTACTACAGGAAAGTTTGCAACAAGGTTACATTAAACTGGGTGCTCAGACTAGCCCACCTGGTTAACCCCTACAGAAATTTTCCCAATTCACAGAATTAGTTGAGGTGCCTGAAGCAGATGCTACCTTCTAAGGTCTGGTCTGCCGTTCTGGTGAGTCTGTCACATCACTTAAGACACGGCTGAGGGGATTGTGTATCTGCTCCTCAGCTAACGACAATTACAGGAACTATAATACTAAAGAGGGTTGACAGTTCCAAACCGAGAAGAGAATATATGCTCCACTCAACCAACACCAGTAAGAGAATGACATCTTCGAAAAGCAACACATGACTGATCAATGTTTGCTTGCTACTCAGGATACAGTCACTGCTTGGAAATAATTATACTGAAAGGCTTGAGCTGAAACAGTCACAATTTATGAGGTTATGGCAAGTGGGGAGGAAAAAGATCCATATTTTTCCCAGTATGAAATTGCTTTTATGTGACTTCCTAACAATGCCTATAATCTTAGTTGTCACTGTACAAAAGTCATTAAAAAAACTCCAACGCAGCCATACATTAAAAGAGAGGAAATCACAGATCCAAGGCAGGAGATACTCCATGTCTGCTTTCAGACACTTGTACTCTATTGCCTCCCATCTCTGCTCCTGCACCTGTTTGCAGCTTCTTTGTACTCTAACCTTCAGAGAAATTCCCTTCTATAATTCCTCTGTGAAGTGCCTAGCACATGTTAGTTCTGCATAAATAATATATAATAAAATGTATGCCTGTTTGCCTTTTTCAGTGGAAACTACCATGTTCAGAAGCATTACAATTAAAATCCTAAAATACTCTTTTAGTTAGGTGAAAAGGATGCTCACAAAAAGGAGACTACTTATGAAGACATTTCTTTATTCTATCAAGGAGACTTGCTATGGATGACTACAACTAAATTGCCCATGTAGCACATCTGATAACTGTATTACAGATTATGAAGACAGGCAAGATTTACTGAATGCTGTGTGTTCATATGTATAATGCAAATATCAGATAACAATCACCTGTTTAAAAGGACTGACCTTTGAAATAACCAAACCCTCAGATAACCTGCCCAAACTCAGAAGATAAGTGATTAGGTGAGAAATCGTTATGGAGAAGATCTAATCCTCATGGTTAGTTGTTTAAATATGGTTTTACCGCTTTTGTTCTAGTGAGGTTTGAGAGATATATTATTATTGAAGCGAACTGAAATGGCACCATACTAAATCACCTCAGCTGGCAGTTTAAATCACCCTTACTGGTGCTGTGGAAGGATGAACCTAATGAATGTTTTCTTCAGTGGCAAAACTGGTTTAGGAGGTTTCTGCCACACCCTTCATCACCCCTCTAATTATGCTAATGCAACTCTTTGAGGACTGTGCTGTAAGCTTTGATTAGTGAAATGAATGAGGTTTCAAACAAGTCTCCTTCTCACTTTCCCTCTTTTTTACACCCAGATAATTACATCAATTCAGTTTTCATGCCTGTTTATAGTCCTTTACATTTTCTATCTGTATTGCAGGGCAGACAGTCTTGGGTGCAATGATGTGCTAAAAGGCTGGTTAACTACCTGCCTATCAGTCATCATCAAAGCTGGTCCTTCCCAGTGCACACCCTATAGAAGTAGGAAAGGCAAAATACCTTTTCTGAAATAATTTGATTCTGAGCAAATGCTTTGGCGTGTGTAGATATGCTGCATAATATAGCATATCTCTTTCTAATTTATTTCATTCTGTATGGTAGGTGTGCTTTGCCTGCAAATTTATGGCCCAGTCAACTGCTGTACTTTACATAAGCTTCCTAATCAACTATTTCAATCATAATGTTGGTTTGAACTCTGTAGGACAAGTTTCTCATCACTTTAGTTACTTCTGAGCTCTCCCTTGCAATAGAAAAAATACTTGAGACTTGCTTGTAATCTCTCTTGCCACATGGATCTTCTGTCACTTGACATTTCCTTTTTATCTTAGAAGATAATAGACCAGTTATGAAGAACGATATACTTCACTGTTAAACGCAGTGGAAAATGTCAAAGGTTTATAAAAATAACAGTGTAGAAATTATGTAAATGTTATCATTGACCTTCACCATCATCATATTCCAGTGAGTCATGTGATGCTTGGGATAAATGAGAGATTTTTGCATAACTTTAATACATAGCACATGATTCACTTCTTCTATTGGGGCATTTTGAGATTATGAGCAGATTTAAAGGGCTGACTTCTCTTCAGGGACACTGACTCAAACCAGCAAAGGGATAAGTGTGCTTGTTGTGTTGTGTTACCCCATTGGGGTTGGGTGTTACGACACTGCCATCTGAATGGGTGTGTCAGGGAGGACACTGAATGTGCTGAAGATAACCCCCTCCCTGTCCTGAGAAACTTGGCGGTACCACATAGGGCTGGTAGTGTTGCAACAGCTCACCTGGGGCTAGGGGGACCTGAGGGAGCAGTGGCTTGACAAAACCTGTGGTAGGAAAGAGGGAAAAGAGCACCTGGCAGAAGAAAACAGAGGACAAAACCATTGACAATTTAAGTCAGGAAGGGAGAGGAGCAAGCTTTAATGCTGTGCACGGTGGTGCCCATTCATGGGACCAGCCCATGACAGCAATCATGGATGGCTAATGCCCTCGGGGTGTAACAGGGGTAAAAGAAAAAGCCAGTGCTGCAGCCTGCATACACACCTTCCACACTCCATCATTATAACCTGGGAGAGACTGTCTGGGGGAAACTTTCCGAAGTCTGTGGCACCTGTTTGCCTGTTGCTTGCCTCACCTGATGTCAGATCCATTCATAACATGCAGAGATCTGCCCTTCAGGGCAGTCTCTGGGGAGTTTTGTGTGGAAGTCCAGGCTGGCTTATCACAATACAGAATTACAGCACCTCTGCACTCTGACACTAAATGCTCAATTTAGGGTCCTGAAAGACCTGTGAGGCGGCCATTGTTTCTTAAGAGAGAAGACCAATTAATGAGCTACAGGAGGGGCTGAACTACAAAGAGGCAAAGCAGTGATGATACAGAACTGCTTAGATTGGTCAGAACAGTATCTGAGAAGGATGAAAGGGGAAAACACCAGTACCGACAAGTGCCATGCTGACACAGAGTGGAAGAGTAGTGTGAACTGCTCGTATGCAATGCTGGGTTTGACATAGGCTGTTTTGAGTTGGATGGTGTTGTAAGCTACCTAGAGACTCTGGAAAACAAAGTGTGATGGTACATAATAGAGGGAGAAAATATATCTCACCTGGAATGCGATGAACGATGATCATTGCATCAGAAATAGCATGGCCAGCAGTGACAGTGTACTCAGAACTGGTGAGGCTGCACCTCGATTCCTGTGTTCAGTTTTGGGCCCCTCACTACAAAAAGGACATTGAATGACTGGAGCATGTCCAGAGAAGGGCAACAAAGCTGGTGCAGGGTCTGGAGCACAGGTCGTACGGGGAGCGGCTGAGGGAACTGTGGGTGTTTAGTCTGGAGAAGAGGAGGCTGAGGGGAGACCTCATCGCCCTCTACAGCTACCTGAAAGGAGGTTGTAGAGAGCTGGGGATGAGTCTCTTTAACAAAGTAATCAGCAATAGAACAAGAGGTAATGGCCTCAAATTGTGCCAGGGAAGGTTTACACTGGGTATTAGGAAGCATTTCTTTCCAGAAGGGGTTGTTAGGCGTTGGAATGGGCTGCCCAGGGAGGTGGTGGAGTCCCCATCCCTGGAGGTGTTTAAGAGTCGGGTTGACACAGTGCTTAGGGATATGGTGTAGTTGGGAACTGTCATTGTTAGGTTGATGGTTGGACTGGATGATCTTCAAGGTCTTTTCCAACCTAGACAATTCTGTGATACTGGGATCAATTCTGCCTATTTCTGTACAGAGTGATCTAACAGGAAAAATTAAACACAGGTAAGACAAAAGGGAAAGTAACTAAGAGGAACTTGCATAAGAGGGATACAAACCACTGAAAAGTGTAGAGAAGTCGTGACCAAGTCTTTTTAGAAAGATATAAGAGCAACTGACTAACTTGAAAGACAGCAAATGGAAGAGTAAATATTTTGTTCAACACATAATTGACCTGTGTAACTCACAGCACCAAGATCAATGTAAAAAGCATTTTAAATTATTTTTTAAAATAAGCACTTTTGTAGGCTATGACATTCAAAATTGCATCAGAACAGATAAAGACATTTTTATATTTTTGTAAACTCATAACAGTAGAAGTCCTCTAATTCATAAAACAGTAAATTACTTTTAAGGAAAAAATCCCCATATGTGAACAGAACTGAAACCCAACTGTCTGTATCTTGTGGGGTTTTGCTCTTTGTATGATCAATCAAATGTGGTCTGTCTCAAGACACTGAACTAGATGGAGCATTGATATTATTTAATTTGTCAAATCCTGCTGGTCTTGCACATGTTTTTTCTGTGAGCTTTTTTTGAAGGAGTGGTTCCACTAAGCTATGAATAGACAATAGAAGGGATTATATGTGAGTAATATCCTTTTATCTCTGGTATCACTTATCTTCTGAGTTTGGGCAGGTTATCTGAGGGTTTGGTTATTTCAAAGGTCAGTCCTTTTAAACAGGTGATTGTTATCTGATATTTGCATTATACATATGAACACACAGCATTCAGTAAATCTTGCCTGTCTTCATAATCTGTAATACAGTTATCAGATGTGCTACATGGGCAATTTAGTTGTAGTCATCCATAGCAAGTCTCCTTGATAGAATAAAGAAATGTCTTCATAAGTAGTCTCCTTTTTGTGAGCATCCTTTTCACCTAACTAAAAGAGTATTTTAGGATTTTAATTGTAATGCTTCTGAACATGGTAGTTTCCACTGAAAAAGGCAAACAGGCATACATTTTATTATATATTATTTATGCAGAACTAACATGTGCTAGGCACTTCACAGAGGAATTATAGAAGGGAATTTCTCTGAAGGTTAGAGTACAAAGAAGCTGCAAACAGGTGCAGGAGCAGAGATGGGAGGCAATAGAGTACAAGTGTCTGAAAGCAGACATGGAGTATCTCCTGCCTTGGATCTGTGATTTCCTCTCTTTTAATGTATGGCTGCGTTGGAGTTTTTTTAATGACTTTTGTACAGTGACAACTAAGATTATAGGCATTGTTAGGAAGTCACATAAAAGCAATTTCATACTGGGAAAAATATGGATCTTTTTCCTCCCCACTTGCCATAACCTCATAAATTGTGACTGTTTCAGCTCAAGCCTTTCAGTATAATTATTTCCAAGCAGTGACTGTATCCTGAGTAGCAAGCAAACATTGATCAGTCATGTGTTGCTTTTCGAAGATGTCATTCTCTTACTGGTGTTGGTTGAGTGGAGCATATATTCTCTTCTCGGTTTGGAACTGTCAACCCTCTTTAGTATTATAGTTCCTGTAATTGTCGTTAGCTGAGGAGCAGATACACAATCCCCTCAGCCGTGTCTTAAGTGATGTGACAGACTCACCAGAACGGCAGACCAGACCTTAGAAGGTAGCATCTGCTTCAGGCACCTCAACTAATTCTGTGAATTGGGAAAATTTCTGTAGGGGTTAACCAGGTGGGCTAGTCTGAGCACCCAGTTTAATGTAACCTTGTTGCAAACTTTCCTGTAGTAAAGTATTTTTCATTCTACATTTTCCTCTGAGTCTGGGTGCATACTGTGTAGCACATGGAAGGATAATGTCTGTCCTTCAGAAGAAATTATGAGAGAAGTATTGGAGAGGTAGCAGAACCCCTCTTCACAAATAGATGAGCTGATGGCTGCCTGGGTCAGCACAGAGTCTGGAATTAAATCACCATCAGCCTGCTCTGTGCATAGTGAATTGACAAAGGTGTCAGAGTAGTGGGGTTGTTTTTTTGTACACATGATACAGATATTTGAGTTCAACTTAATGAAAGCTTGGATTAATTGTACACTGCAAACATATATTAAATTTAGGAACCTGGAGCTTGCAGTGGACTTTCTAGATCTGCAAGCTCAACTTCTGCTTGCCATGTATAGCCTCATGATGTTTCACCATCCATAAAGTTGCCAAGCTTCATCAAGCTCCATTTTAAACGTAGCTGGACACTTTCCCCAGTACCGAACATGGATGTCTGCTCTAAAACTCTTCTCTGAAGCTCAAAAAACCTTTTTCTAGTTTCTAGACTAAGTTTATCTGTGCTACATGAAAGCTATTTGTTTGTGTGGCAATATTATTCTTCATCTAAAGCATTTCTTTTCCCTTGGTAGTACTTGTATGCTGATACATTAACAGGGAGATACTATATCACTTTTCAGCCTCCATTCAGTTGTGCCAAGAAAGCAAGCCACTTTTACCTTCCTCTCATAAAATAATCTCTGTTGCCCTGATGGTTTCAGTAACCTTCCTCTGCTCTTCTTCCAGTGCAAATTCATTCCTTAAGTTAGATATTCATAACGAAGTAGATTAGTCCAGATGAGGTCTAATCTGTGTCTTACTCAAATAGCACACCTGTATCTCTGCTTTACTGAAGACACCTTGATGTGATTGCCATTGCCTTTTTGTGGTGACACATGGGTCAGTTTTAGATACCCTATGATCTACTCAAAACACACATCTTCTCTTCCAAACTTGGAATTGATTGTCTGTTACAAAATGCTTTCAGGAAAACTAAGCAGCTGGTGCTGGTCCTCATATGGATGTGAGACAGGGAAAGACAGAAAACAGTAGAAGAAAATGGTTAGTTCTTGCAGTAAGGAAATGTCACAAGAGTTGTTTCTTGGAGGCCTGTGGTGGGGCTTGTGCTGTTCAACATGTTCATAAATGACCTGGAAGAGGGAGGTAACAAAGTTTACTAAAGGCACAAAATTATTTAAGGCAATAATGATGATGGAAGAATTCTATAGAACAACTGGGCAATAAAATGGCCCTAGAACATGAGTGTGGATAATATGCACACATCAAAACCAATCCTAGTTTCACATATGAAGTGATGGGATCTGCACTGGTAGATCCCCAGATACCTCTGAGGGGTGAGATCCTGGGTTTCTGATAGGGCCAAGAACGTCTCAGCTCAGTGGTAGTCAGAAATACTAGTCAAATGTCCAGCGTTATTAGGGATAGAGTAGAACACAAGGTGAGAAACCTTCTCTGCAACTTCATAAATCTGATTCAGCTGTGTCCAGCATGCTCTGTGCAGTTCCGGTTCTCTTATCTCAAAGCAGATAAAGCAAACAAAAGGGGAGCAAGAAAAAAAGCCATTAATTAATACAATTTTCTGGGGTTCAAAAGACTGAGCTTTGGTAAATTATTCATAAAGTCATAAAATTCAAATACAACTGAAGTTTCCTGTAAGGTTAGCTAACATGGAAAACTACACCATGCGTTTCTTCTCTAAGACTTTGTATGTTGTAATGATAAGACATTTTACCCACCTTTCATCATCTGGAAGTATCTCTATGCATCTTAAATAAAAAGAGTATTACCTTTTCTTGCTCTGCTGGAAAACTTGAAAGATGCTTCTGCTATTAAATTCATTACTGTAGAGGGGAATCTTCATGTTCATATAAAACCTGATGGGGCTTGCAGAGCAGCCAGTTTCCCAGAAGGTTTCCAGGAACCCTTAGGGAATGTCTGCCCTCTTTAGTGCTGCACTGGGCACAATGGGAAAGTGTAGAGTGAGCCCAGTTCAGAGATCAGAAGCAGCATAACCCTGTACACACTGAGCCCTGCCTGAGCTCCTCAAGATAGCTAGTTTCAGTAGCTCTGGAAAATGTCTCATTGTACAGCACAAACATAACCCAAATGAACTGACAGATTTGGGGCTGCAGAATTACTAGGGCCTCTCTGCACTTGCTTGGCTTGATATCAGTGTAAAGACTACCCAAACTAGATTTCTTCCTTGCTGCAATGAAAGCAAAATACTCATTTTTTTGGTTGGCAAACAGAAGAAAGCATTCCTGGTTTATGGTGGATTTACTGTTCTTTCCTGTGCCTATGATTTACATTTAGAACCAGGCTGTCTGGCAGAGTGTGCTTTGGCAGTGTCGCTGCTTTGCGCTGGTACAAGTGTAATTGCACATGTTTGTGGAATTGAGATCGCTGGCCATGATCAGCCTGTACGCCAGTGGATATGTGCCTCCTCTCTGAACAAATCACTGTTGATACTTCTCATGTGTAAATGACTAGGCAAAAATCCAGCCAGAGTGGTTAGATACCTGGAGTTTTTCTGTGAAAATGTTCTGCTTTTAGGTATCTTTGCGGATTATCATCTAAACACCTTGCAGAAACATGGAAGTATATAGCATGGAATGCTGATTATAATACTTTACATGTAATTTTAGTGATTTTCACAACAGGTCTTAGAGTGTGTTACTATGAAGTAGATGCAGGAACTTTTTTCTGAAGTATGGATTAGTTGACTTGATGAGTAAAAGAAGTTCCATCGCTTTGTAAAACTAAACAAAAAGGTCAGCAGGAAAATCCAGAATAAAACACAGATTTCCTGGCATAGGTTCCCACTCTTGACTAGGCACTACTTCCTTCTCCAAAATAAGCATTTATACAGTTACATTTGCAATTTTAAAGTAAAAAAATATTTTTTTAATTTTTACTTGCTTATTTCTAGTACTTAGTTTGTGTTTGTATATTTAAAACAGACTTTTGTACAGTATTTGTCGAGAACAGCAGAATTCAGAATTGGCAATAGTGAAGAAGTTTTTTTCTCACACAGTATAGCCAATATCAAATTGGTACGTGAACTCCCAGCTTTAGCTCAACCTGTACCTCCTCTGCTTTGTTCCAGGTTATGGACACACAGTGCCTTTATCTGATGGAGGAAAGGCCTTCTGCATCATCTACTCAGTCATCGGGATCCCATTTACACTCCTTTTCCTGACAGCAGTGGTACAGCGTATCATTGTATATGTCACCAGGCGGCCTGTATTGTATTTCCACATTCGCTGGGGCTTCTCCAAGCAGGTTGTTGCAATCATCCATGCTATAGTCCTTGGATTCATCACTGTCTCGTGCTTCTTCTTAATCCCAGCAGCAATATTTTCTGTTCTGGAAGATGACTGGAATTTTTTGGAATCTTTTTACTTTTGTTTCATTTCTCTGAGCACCATTGGCCTCGGAGACTACGTACCAGGAGAAGGCTACAATCAAAAGTTCCGAGAGCTGTATAAAATTGGAATTACATGTAAGTATGTAACTAACCAGCTAAATAAAAGTCATTTTGTAAAAAAAAAAAAGCAAAAAACAAAAAACCAACAGACTTTTCCTCTCCATTCTGTGGATGGTGATTGTTTTGTGAGCTGTCAGCTAGCAAACTGGGCATTGTAGGTAGCTGTGCAAAGACGAAATCTTTAAATAAGGTAAGTTTTCTTAGTTAAGAAAGAGAAAGCTAACACCAGAATTCCACTGTGCTAAACCATAGCTACTTACTCTCTTATTAACAGTAACAAAAATGCACACATTACTGTTATAAAAATGGTTAGAGCATCATGGGCTAAGATTTCAGTGCATCACAGAGCCAGGAAGATGATCCTTGTAAGGTCATCTCATAAAGTGAGATGATGAGTGGGCAGAGATTAATCGAGTAGCAATGGGAATTGAGGCACAATAGCAAAGTTTCTGACTCCAGTAGTAACAGAAGGTAGCTGCAGCTGGCACTGGCGCATATCAGTCAGAGAGAGACAAATAAATTGAGATGATAGCAAAAAAAGACCATGAATGTTAAATTTAAATAGTTATGTTTGACACAGAAGAGAGGCACAGTGATTAGTGATTGGATCAAAGTAGAGCTAAGAAAATTACCTTTGTGTTGGTATTCTGAATGAATGTATGCTGAGGTCAATATTCTCCAGTGACAGTGTTTTGAAGCACCCCTGTTTCTGATACAGCTTCAGTCTGCACTGCCCTGGTCACCAGGCACACCGCTTAAAAGATCTGAACGGCCTAACCTCACCTTTTGTGTCAGGTCCTTTTCTTAGGCTGGTATGCATTTTTCTGTGCACGATCCAGCAATTTTAATGTAGGCAAAGTGTCCATTACTTTGGTTTGTATTTTCCCTAAAGAAAGATTGGGCCTTGGAATTTTCATTCCTTGAAGCAGGGCCTTGAACTAGCCAACAGAACACTTTATTTTATTCTCCTGACAGGTCTGTTCTCATTGCAGGAGATTTCCCCCTCTACCCATAATGTTAATTTTACCAGCAGTAGCTTTTAATTATTACCCTGCTGATCTGTGGAGTTGATCTGGCGATGCCAAATGATGAAGTGAATGGAGAAAGTTACATGTAATAAAGGTCTTGTAAAAATTTTAGCTGTTCTGAAAACTCAAAATCAGAAGGACACATTATGGCTCAGATTATCCTTTTTCAAACTTTAAAACACTTAGAAAATACTAAAGGAAATTTATTAGGAAATACTAAAAGGAAAAAGTAGCTTTTAGGCAAAGTTATGACCTTAGAATATTTAATTTCAACGGGTTTTAAGGTCATAACTTTTAAATTACTGTTTTTCCTTTCATGTGAACAATTCAAGGAATCAAACAGAATATATAAAATGTTTTCTCTTGCTGAACGTAAATTTTCTTCAAGAAGAGCTTTGGAGTTCTACATCAGAAAATGTGTAATGAGTGCTACAGGCTTTTCATGAATTTTTAGGAGAACACAAGTCCTGTTCTAAATCAAGTGGTGATCAGCTGGACTGAGTTTCAGAGAAAATTATAAAATTCTCTGTGCAGATTTATAGATGCCTTTTAATTGGCATAGCTTTGTCACTTCCTTGTGTTAAGGCATACCTCCCATTTGATGTCATGAGATAAATCTTAAAAACAATTCATAAATTTTAACTGTAGTGCTGATGTAGGTCAGTAACTGCTATTGCAATATTGATTTAATGGTGCTTCTGGAAGGAAAAGGGAAGTGTTATTGCCAGCGAATAATCTGTAACTACAGGTGAAATATTTATGCCTGTAGGTAACAGAACAGTGACCATATGTAGATTATAATAATTAATCTATGTTGATCTTTCAGCACATTTAATGTTCAACCTTTGGTTGAGCATGTTGTACTAATAATTATACACTTAGCTTCTGCTTGATTTACTCATTGAAATGATAAAATATTCAAGTAGTCATGCTCCTCATTAAATTGTAATGATCAGTAGCAGGGATCTAACGAAACATTAAGATTAAGAAATGGTCATTTTAATACCTTCCCTATAGATGCATATGTTTGGAGAGGGGGGGGGGAAAAAAAAAGAGCACAATGGGCTATTAACTATATGAAGCTCCATTTCCAAAAGTCTCAGTCTATGAGAGCTGACTATTACCTTTAAAAATCAGAGTCAGTATACCACCAAAGTAATCAGTAATATCATTTAAGTAACACTTCCAAGTTTGAATAGCTTATGTATGTTAGTAAAACATTACAAATAATCTTCAAGGTGTCATCAGATGTAGAGACTTCATCAGGTTTTTAAAATATCAGCAGTGATTTTTCATTTTGATTTTATTGGTTTTGTACACATTTCTAGTTGCTTTGTTTTTGCACGCATTTCAGGGTATTGGATATCTTCTTACAGTTTTAAAGGAAAATAATTAAAATGTTTTCATGAAAGACAGGTTATTTGTCCCACTAAACTGGTACAAACAGCAAATAACCGTAATTAGCTGCCATAGTTTTACTTCTTTTTATAATATGTAGGAATATTAAGGGAAAAAAATCTTTTGAAGAGCACTTACTCGTGAAGTTCATAAGTAAGTGGGGGAGCATGCATGTGGCAAGTTTTAAGATTCTGTTTCATTTAATGCCTTTACTTATTTTTCTCTTGTACAGTTGTAACAGAATTAAAGCCACTAGGGTTACATTTTTTTTTTTATTATGTGAGTCTTGTTGATAGTAGAATGAAAAACGAAAAAAAGAATTTGAGAGTCCAGAGTGGGTTACAGAGCTCTGAAACTGGGTCATAAAGAAGATTAGCATACTGTTCAGCAATGGCAGGCATGGGAAAAGTTACAGGGTTAAAAACATTCCAGACCCACTTAATTTGCTAATAATTAAAACACTTTTTCTTTTTCGTACCCAGGTTATCTGTTGCTGGGCCTTATCGCAATGTTGGTGGTTCTTGAGACTTTCTGTGAACTTCATGAGCTCAAAAAGTTTAGGAAGTTGTTTTATGTGAAGAAGGACAAGGAAGAGGACCAAGTGCATATAATGGAACATGACCAGCTCTCCTTCTCTTCCATCTCAGACCAAGCAGCCTCCATGAAAGACGATCAGAAGGCAAATGAGCCTTTTGTGACTTCCCAGTCCCCAACTTCCAATGACAGCTCTCTAAACAACTAATACAGGGGTATCCACACCATTGTTTTGGTGTGTTTATGCTACTTACCATAAGAAATAGAATGCCTCATTTTTTTTTTTTCTGAAAATATAAAAGCTGGAAGACTGTGCTACTTTAAAAAGGATTCATCACTTCCAACATAGAAAAGACTTCTGGGAAAAATGTGGGAGCAACCCTGGGAACAGGGAAAAAATGTAGGATGTGTCTGGGAACATTAAACCATTTTGCTTGAGGGATAAGGAGTTAGGTGTATCACTTTCAGAGGCGCCAGAGAGAAAGGCTTGCACAAGCAGCTTCATCCAACATCTGTGAGAGAGTAGGCCTTCACTGACATCCAATTCACTTAGTTGCACACACCATCTTGCAACTGGGTGACAGCAAATTTTGGGATGTGCACTTTTGATTGTCAATAGTATAGTCACAGATTTAGTCCAATCACACCAAATATCTTAATTTGGAAAACATTTCCAGAGTAGTATCTACATATCTGTTGGATGGGGGAGTATCTAGATCATCCCTCTATTGCCCAGTAACTTGCAGGTGCAAATAATAATTATAGGAATTAAAAAATAAGGCTCCGGTCCCTCCTTTGCCCATGCCATTTACCTTCAGATTTCCTACTTCCTTAAAAGGTCCCTAATCACAAGAAAAATGTTGTCCTGAGGAGAGTATGCCTTGAGTCTTCCATGCTGTTTGTCTTTGTATGAAATACTTTTGTAAACTCTGAGAGATATCAACACCAGTTCAAAGTGCTGGGTGAGGTGGGGTTGTAGGGAAAGGAGACAGCTACATTTCAGTCCTCTGTCCTCTGAAATGGGCAGGAGTGGGGTTTTAGCTATGTGGAATGAAGTGGAAAAGAGTCAGCGTTTGCCACAATTGGCATAGCCATGTGCTTATGACATTCTCCTAGTAGATTGTTGAAATCAGTTGAGCAGAATGACTCAATGCTGTTTCTTCCACAGTCCAACCCAGTGTGTGCTCTCTGCTGAGCTGATAGGTAAGTGGAGGAACAGAAATCATGTCACCTTTGAACATAGCCCCTTTTTCTTCTTTTGCTTTTCTAAGTAGTACTCAGAGCACTTTGGAGGAGGAGGGAATGTTTCAGGGCAAAACAATTTTTCAGTTTTTCATATGGCAAGAAAAAAGGAAAAATGTCACATTTGGTTCAGATGGGACCGAAATTTTTTCCCCTTGGGAAAAGTCACTAAAAAGTCCTCACTCAACTTCTGAAGCTGGAACCTCTTTGGCTGTAACAGGAGAGGTGTTTTAGTCCAGCTACCAGTCACTGTGCTGAATGCAGGGACCTTGGTGTGAATTTCAGTGAGCAGGAGATGAGACTTAAGGGGTTGTAGTACTCTCTCTTCTGGCCTTAAGAATCTACGATATGGGAATCTTGAGAATGCTTTGCAATGAACAAAAGATCTGGAGCCCAAATAGCCATATTAGAGCAGCCTCCCACATAAAAATAGTGTAGAGGAGAGCTTTTTCCCTGCAGCGCAAGCATGCCAGTTTGCCTGTAATTTGGCTTTTAGTGTTTAGAGCTGAATAATATTTTAATGTAAAAGAAAAAAAATGCAGTGTGTCTAGATTTAGCGCACATGGGAAAAATACTTGAAAGTTAATAACCCAAAATATGCTGTGTTTGAGCTTAATTACAGCTATCATCAAACAGATTTTATATCTTTACTGGAAAAACTTACTTTATGGTTAAATCAGCTGAAAGTCTCCAATTAAAGTTTATATTTATAGAAAACCAGAGCTAAAAGTTTTGGATGTTTTGGGTTTTATAGATTAGGTGAGAGCATACTGTGTTTGCATGTTCCCAAGAAAGTGGCTATTTTTATACTGCTTAAGTTAACACAATTCTATTTATAATGAATGTTAACTGGTATATATGTACATATATACATAAATATATTTATATACTGTACATATATCATAAATCACCAGAGTTTAACAGACTTAGGAATGGCATTTTAGATAATTTTTTTTCCCCTAGGCTTCTCTTTATACAGTCAGTAATTGAAAACTATGGCATTAAAATGACACTGACAAAATTAAGAGTACTGTACTATAAGAATCATTTATACTGTTTTTTTTCAGTGGAATTTTATTGATTGTTTTCAGTACCTTAAAATTAAAGATTTCATTTCAGTGTAACATTAAGCTCTAAAGGATATGCACAGATGCTAAATAATATACAAAGTTAACTTTGCAGCGTGTACACAATTGCAAAACGTAGACACATGAAATGAAAGCACAGAATTCAAAGCAGAAGCGATAAACTAAGCAGTATACTGTGATGTAGGTGAGTATTTGTTATTTTAAACTTAAATAAAAAGTCTGGCTTTTGCCTGCCTGCACTATGAAGTGGGGAGTATTTTCTTTAGTGGGGGGTGTGTGTGTGTGTGTGTGTGTGTGTGTGTGTGTGTGTCTGCGTTTGAAAAGATTGTACATCCTTTAGTTAGCCTTCCTCAACTCAAGGAGGCATCATTAATGCCAGAGCGTGTTACCTAACCTTAATATTAATGGTAGCTTAGTATTGTGTTGATTATTCCTATAGAACAAAAACATTCCCGAGTGGGTTTGTTTTTGTTTCAGATGCTGACTGATTATAGCAAATAAAAAATAGTGGCATAACATTTACCTTGTCTTTATAACCTAACTATTCCAATATTTGAGGAAATCTGAAAAACTGTCATTGCAGGTTATCAGTACCACTAATTAAAATGGCCTTCATTTCTTACAGTTTTTATGTGATGTGAAGCCAACACACAAGATCAGAATAGTTAAAACTGCAATCCAGATTATAATGAGAAAGATAATCATGCAAGAACCTTAGTATAAAGTGTGTATCTTTCCTAGAGGCAAACTGTGAAGTGGGTGTGTGTAAACCCAAATGGAAAGTGTGGGTCGTAAAACAACGGTGCTGAAACAAAAGTTGTAAGAGGGAGTAAGAAATGTGAGCAAATTACTTATACGCAGAAGAGGATTGCCTGGGCCCTATCGTCACTCTCCTGTCTTCAGTTGATCAAGTCATATGTCCCATTAATGGCTTTATTCCCGTGCTACAGCTGACATTTGTCATCTTCTCTTTGCCTTTCAGTCATTAAACGTGTTTTATTATTATTTCAAGGGAAAGAACTGGGGGGCCATTCAGTTGTGTTGGGGGAAAGAAAATAGAAGAACCCACTTGAGTTTTGATCTTGGAGCGATGTGACAGCCATATTTGTCTCTTTGAGAACATGTCCTCTTCCTTAAGAGTTTCTTCCCCAAGGTTCACCAATGGCACCTAGTGTGGGTAAACACAAGACTTGCTGAAGGTTAAAATGAGTAATTTTCTAAGTAGGTAAATTCAGAGACTTAAGTGGTTTGTGGCTTTAATGCCAGAACTACAAAAGTTACCTAGTTGGGTGTTTATGTCAGAGTAATTACATAAGAGCAGCAGTTTGGGATTACATTAAATGTTTTTCTAGCCCAGTATTTTGTCTGTGGCAATGGCCGAGAGCAGACATGTGTGAACTTGTGTAAGGAGAGGGCAAGCATGTAGCAACAGTTCCACAGAATATTATTCTATCTCCCAGCAATGTGCAGCTCTGGATCTATGATAGTGCCTAGGAAAGTCATTGTAGGTGTGATGTGTAGAAGATGTGCTACACTGATGTGCATGCTCTGTTTTGGTCAGCAAGAGACTATCCCACACAGATTCAAATGAAGATTACCTATTACTTTCCCAAAAAGGAGTTTCAGGTTAAGTAAACACTTTACAGTAACCAGGTGGGATAGCACTGACAGTGTGACTGCATGGGATGGTCTCTTGAAAAAGGGAAGAAAGGCAGGGGAATGCCTTTTACACACTGTTACTTGGACATTGATGTCATCTGTGTAGATAGGAGCATACACTGTTTGCTGATGCTAAATCTTGCAACTCCACGTTACTACACTACCTTTGTAAATAGTAGTCAGGAATCTACTGAGTTGAACCATAAGTTGCTAAAAACATTACTACCCTAATGTTATTCCATTATTACTGATTCTTCTAGATTCTACCTTCTACTACAGCAAAATAAAGTTACTATAACAGGAATCAGTATTATTCCAGATGTGCACCGGTACAAAAGGATGGGGTTTCTCTGTTCTGCACTAGTAACTGTCATTATTGTAGTGTATATCAAGAAGCTCCTAGATAGCCAAAAAAGCATATATCTTCATGTTGCTCATTTCAAACAAACAGTTTTTAAAATCACGGTTGCTAGCTCTGCAAATTCACATGCTTGCTAATGCATATTAGGTACTTGATGTATGTCATTTTCAATGCCTGAAATGTTAGTCTCATCACTTCCTAAGTTATCACGTACCTGCTTTTTATCATGGATTTCTTGTCCCAATTATCTTCAAATGTCATCACATTGCCACTGATTATGAGTGCTGTGATGCAGTTATTTTGCTGGTGATGATGAGGCTTTTGTCAGAGCCGTTGCCTTAGCTGATGAGACTATCTCACATGTGGCAGCTGGGTCCAAATGATAGATTCAGGTAATGAGGAGTGAGTGTGGCTGGGAGCAGGTGCACAGGCTGACAGCCAACGTCGGGACAAAATCATCCTGGCAGACTGTGAAGTGACCACATAGTCTTCACCAGGCTTCGTTGCCTGTCACTAGGAGTAAGAGAAAAATCCTTCCAAAGGAAGGAAGGAGGAAGGACATTGCCAAAAGTCATCTGAAATGGAGTTCAGTGGAAATTAGTTTTTTCACAATTTGTCTATAATCTGTGACTCACTTTTACTTCATTTGCACTGTATATAGTACGTATTAGGAAAACTATTTGGCATTTCCCCAGTGTAGATGGTCCCTGTGCTCCCTGAAACAAGTTATGCTTGTTATCATAAGGAGTTTTCCTGTATTAAGTTCAGTGAGTGTTCAGACCCATGAGCAGGAGTGTAAATCAGTGCCACTAATGAAACTTTCCAGGGCCTGGCCCTGGGGCTGCCTCCCAGACTGTCTGGAAAGAGAAAAGTGAACTCTCTATGTTAAAAAGTGGGAAACCCACTCTTCTGGGAGGCTCAAAGCTCCAAAAACCCATTTAGTGCTAATCCCAGAAATTTTGCAGTCTTGGTATGTATGTACAAGTATCCAGAGTAGCACATGGAACAGCAACTTGGTTTCACTATGCCTAAATTTTTAGAATGGTCAACCCACTCAACCGCCTGAATTTATCTTCCCCATGTAAAAATGTGACTTACAGTATTCACTGACTGTCTCTAAGCACTCACCAGTAACCTAAGCTGGGCCTCTGCTGCAGGCCGCAAGGTGACATTAAGAGGACAGAAGGACTCCTATACCATCTGCTCTGAGGAGGAGTGGAGATGGGAATAGGTATGGGGCAGGTAGTCACTGGGAAAGCCCCTTCCCTGCCCATGAGTATACATTAACTTCAGCTGCAGTGTTATCAGTTTATTTCTAAAACAACTTCTAATGTCTGGCATATAAGGACTGTACGATTCATCCCACTGCGCTCTGTACATCAGCCAAAGTTCATGCTGCTACTAATGTAATGACTATAAAAACTAATAGCTCATCTAGAAGAATTAAATTATTTTATTTTTCTTTTTAAGTGCATCATTGCTGTGCTTCTGGGCATTATTTAGGCTCTGATTTTATTCTGGCCTGTAGTGCCATGTTATCCTACAACTGTAAAGCTTCTGCTTCTGCCACGCATGGACAAAAATTAATTAGCATGCTTGCATAAACAGAAGACAGCAAACTGTAGTATCAGTTTAAATGGAAATTAGCAAATCCTAATTCTGTATTCCTGAGCTGGTTTCTTGATTATGGGCAAAGATCTGTTAAATTTGTTTAGCGATTGACAGCTGTGATTTGAGGCGTGCTTTCTGAACAGAGATGCAAAAAATATCGATTTCCAGTAGTAAAGTACAGTAACACCTTTGAGATTAAGTCCCCCAGATGTTTAGCTAGATGCTTTTGCAGATTAATCCTGTTTGTATGGTTTAATAAGGCCTTGTTCGAAATTTAGTATGCAAAAATTAAAATCCATGCTCCATTTAATTCCGAATTCCTATGCATGTTCAGAGAAAATTGAAAACATGAAAGAAGAAGATGACCTTACTTCATACACCACCTCCCAGGGAGCTGCTGACCCATGCTCAGAACTGGGAAAATTCCCTGGCTTTCCAGGCCACAGAGGCAGGCAGCCCTTGCCCCAGGAAGGCTTGCAAGCAGCATCCCCAGCCTCAAGAAGATGGGGCTGTCCTGGGGGAGAGGCGACGGGAGAGCAGCCTCCGTGGGACACAAGAGGAGAGACCACAGCTGCTCTGAGGCCGAAGAGAAATAGCAGCGATGGCAGGTAGAGGGGACATGGTGGGACTTGGAGTGGGCAGGGGCAGGCAGCTGGCTCCAGCCTGTGGGGAGGGACCTGCGCCAGCTGCAGCACGAAGAAAGGATTATCAATGTGGGCTGGAGGTGGGTGTTGCTTTTTGAAGTGACTTAACTTTTAATCTTCCACACTAAATTGTGTGGGGCTTTGAAGTGTACTGTGTGCAAGAACTGCAAAGAA